AGCCAACTCACCATATGTGTATCTATAGCCAACTCCCTACATGTGTATAACTAGCCAACTCCCTACATGTGTATCTATAGCCAACTCACCATATGTGTATCTATAGCCAACTCCCTACATGTGTATAACTAGCCAACTCCCTACATGTGTATCTATAGCCAACTCACCATATGTGTATCTATAGCCAACTCACCACATGTGTATAACTAGCCAACTCCCTACATGTGTACATCTAGCCAACTCACTACATGTGTATCTATAGCCAACTCACCATATGTGTATCTATAGCCAACTCCCTACATGTGTATAACTAGCCAACTCCCTACATGTGTATCTATAGCCAACTCACCATATGTGTATCTATAGCCAACTCCCTACATGTGTATAACTAGCCAACTCCCTACATGTGTATCTATAGCCAACTCACCATATGTGTATCTATAGCCAACTCACCATATGTGTATAACTAGCCAACTCACCACATGTGTATAACTAGCAAACTCCCTACATGTGTATAACTAGCCAACTCCCTACATGTGTATAACTTGCCAACTCCCTACATGTGTATAACTAGCCAACTCACCATATGTGTATAACTAGCCAACTCCCTACATGTGTATAACTAGCCAACTCCCTACATGTGTATAACTAGCCAACTCCCTACATGTGTATCTATAGCCAACTCACCATATGTGTATAACTAGCCAACTCACCACATGTGTATAACTAGCAAACTCCCTACATGTGTATAACTAGCCAACTCACTACATGTGTATCTATAGCCAACTCACCATATGTGTATCTATAGCCAACTCCCTACATGTGTATAACTAGCCAACTCCCTACATGTGTATCTATAGCCAACTCACCATATGTGTATCTATAGCCAACTCCCTACATGTGTATAACTAGCCAACTCCCTACATGTGTATCTATAGCCAACTCACCATATGTGTATCTATAGCCAACTCACCACATGTGTATAACTAGCCAACTCCCTACATGTGTATCTATAGCCAACTCACCATATGTGTATCTATAGCCAACTCACCACATGTGTATAACTAGCCAACTCCCTACATGTGTACATCTAGCCAACTCACTACATGTGTATCTATAGCCAACTCACCATATGTGTATCTATAGCCAACTCCCTACATGTGTATAACTAGCCAACTCCCTACATGTGTATCTATAGCCAACTCACCATATGTGTATCTATAGCCAACTCCCTACATGTGTATAACTAGCCAACTCCCTACATGTGTATCTATAGCCAACTCACCATATGTGTATCTATAGCCAACTCACCATATGTGTATAACTAGCCAACTCACCACATGTGTATAACTAGCAAACTCCCTACATGTGTATAACTAGCCAACTCCCTACATGTGTATAACTTGCCAACTCCCTACATGTGTATAACTAGCCAACTCACCATATGTGTATCTATAGCCAACTCACCATATGTGTATAACTAGCCAACTCCCTACATGTGTATCTATAGCCAACTCACCATATGTGTATCTATAGCCAACTCCCTACATGTGTATAACTAGCCAACTCCCTACATGTGTATCTATAGCCAACTCACCATATGTGTATCTATAGCCAACTCACCATATGTGTATAACTAGCCAACTCCCTACATGTGTATCTATAGCCAACTCACCATATGTGTATCTATAGCCAACTCCCTACATGTGTATAACTAGCCAACTCCCTACATGTGTATCTATAGCCAACTCACCATATGTGTATCTATAGCCAACTCCCTACATGTGTATAACTAGCCAACTCCCTACATGTGTATCTATAGCCAACTCACCATATGTGTATCTATAGCCAACTCACCATATGTGTATAACTAGCCAACTCACCACATGTGTATAACTAGCAAACTCCCTACATGTGTATAACTAGCCAACTCCCTACATGTGTATAACTTGCCAACTCCCTACATGTGTATAACTAGCCAACTCACCATATGTGTATCTATAGCCAACTCACCATATGTGTATAACTAGCCAACTCCCTACATGTGTATAACTTGCCAACTCCCTACATGTGTATAACTAGCCAACTCCCTACATGTGTATAACTAGCCAACTCCCTACATGTGTATAACTTGCCAACTCCCTACATGTGTATAACTAGCCAACTCACCATATGTGTATCTATAGCCAACTCCCTACATGTGTATAACTAGCCAACTCACCACATGTGTACAAATAGCCAACTCACCATATGTGTATCTATAGCCAACTCCCTACATGTGTATAACTAGCCAACTCACCATATGTGTATAACTAGCCAACTCACCACATGTGTATAACTAGCCAACTCCCTACATGTGTATAACTAGCCAACTCACCATATGTGTATAACTAGCCAACTCCCTACATGTGTATAACTAGCAAACTCCCTACATGTGTATAACTAGCCAACTCCCTACATGTGTATAACTAGCCAACTCACCATATGTGTATCTATAGCCAACTCCCTACATGTGTATAACTAGCAAACTCCCTACATGTGTATAACTAGCCAACTCCCTACATGTGTATCTATAGCCAACTCACCATATGTGTATAACTAGCCAACTCACCACATGTGTATAACTAGCAAACTCCCTACATGTGTATAACTAGCCAACTCCCTACATGTGTATAACTTGCCAACTCCCTACATGTGTATAACTAGCCAACTCCCTACATGTGTATAACTAGCCAACTCACCACATGTGTACAAATAGCCAACTCACCATATGTGTATCTATAGCCAACTCCCTACATGTGTATAACTAGCCAACTCACCATATGTGTATAACTAGCCAACTCACCACATGTGTATAACTAGCCAACTCCCTACATGTGTATAACTAGCCAACTCACCATATGTGTATAACTAGCCAACTCCCTACATGTGTATAACTAGCAAACTCCCTACATGTGTATAACTAGCCAACTCCCTACATGTGTATAACTAGCCAACTCCCTACATGTGTATCTATAGCCAACTCACCATATGTGTATAACTAGCCAACTCACCACATGTGTATAACTAGCAAACTCCCTACATGTGTATAACTAGCCAACTCCCTACATGTGTATAACTAGCCAACTCCCTACATGTGTATAACTAGCCAACTCCCTACATGTGTATAACTAGCCAACTCCCTACATGTGTATAACTAGCCAACTCACCACATGTGTATAACTAGCAAACTCCCTACATGTGTATAACTAGCCAACTCCCTACATGTGTATAACTAGCCAACTCCCTACATGTGTATAACTTGCCAACTCCCTACATGTGTATAACTTGCCAACTCCCTACATGTGTATAACTAGCCAACTCCCTACATGTGTATAACTAGCCAACTCACCACATGTGTATAACTAGCCAACTCACCACATGTGTATAACTAGCAAACTCCCTACATGTGTATAACTAGCCAACTCCCTACATGTGTATAACTAGCCAACTCCCTACATGTGTATAACTAGCCAACTCACCACATGTGTATAACTAGCAAACTCCCTACATGTGTATAACTAGCCAACTCCCTACATGTGTATAACTAGCCAACTCCCTACATGTGTATAACTAGCCAACTCACCATATGTGTATAACTAGCCAACTCACCATATGTGTATCTATAGCCAACTCCCTACATGTGTATAACTAGCCAACTCCCTACATGTGTATAACTAGCCAACTCACCACATGTGTATAACTAGCCAACTCACCACATGTGTATAACTAGCAAACTCCCTACATGTGTATAACTAGCCAACTCCCTACATGTGTATAACTAGCCAACTCCCTACATGTGTATAACTAGCCAACTCACCACATGTGTATAACTAGCAAACTCCCTACATGTGTATAACTAGCCAACTCCCTACATGTGTATAACTAGCCAACTCCCTACATGTGTATAACTTGCCAACTCCCTACATGTATATATCTAGCCAACTCCCTACATGTGTATAACTAGCCAACTCACCACATGTGTATAACTAGCCAACTCCCTACATGTGTATAACTAGCCAACTCACCATATGTGTATAACTAGCCAACTCACCACATGTGTATAACTAGCCAACTCCCTACATGTGTATAACTAGCCAACTCCCTACATGTGTATAACTTGCCAACTCCCTACATGTGTATAACTAGCCAACTCCCTACATGTGTATAACTAGCCAACTCCCTACATGTGTATAACTTGCCAACTCCCTACATGTGTATAACTAGCCAACTCCCTACATGTGTATAACTAGCCAACTCCCTACATGTGTATAACTTGCCAACTCACCACATGTGTATAACTAGCCAACTCCCTACATGTGTATAACTAGCCAACTCACCACATGTGTATAACTTGCCAACTCCCTACATGTGTATAACTTGCCAACTCCCTACATGTGTATAACTAGCCAACTCACCATATGTGTATAACTAGCCAACTCACCATATGTGTATCTATAGCCAACTCACCATATGTGTATAACTAGCCAACTCCCTACATGTGTATAACTAGCCAACTCACCATATGTGTATCTATAGCCAACTCACCACATGTGTATAACTAGCCAACTCCCAACATGTGTATAACTAGCCAACTCCCTACATGTGTATAACTAGCCAACTCACCATATGTGTATAACTAGCCAACTCACCACATGTGTATCTATAGCCAACTTCCTACATGTGTATAACTAGCCAACTCCCTACATGTGTATAACTAGCCAACTCACCACATGTGTACATCTAGTAAGCTTCCTACATGTGTATATCTAGCTGACTATCAGCAATAAATCGTTCACACCACCTATCAACAACATGTTGGGATTCGACCATGTCGTGTGAGGTAAGTGAAGACAGTAACCGCCGTGCCACCAAATAGTACAGTTGCAACTTTTGTGACCACTTGATAACAGCAACCCAAATCCAATACAGTTTATACCTTACTGCACGAGGTGTCTCACCTGACGACATATTTAGTCGCGCTGTGAAGGAAACAGGACATCGTCTTGTCAGAAGACAGCAGTGGCGTCACTGTGGTGTTGGTGAAGGTCAAGGTCGACAGACTGCTCGTCTTCCAGACGCCCCGGAGTTCAGGGGGGAAGGTGCACTGTGCCGCTGAAGCAGACGACAGAAAATCATAACTGAATCATTTAAGTGAGTGAGTGAGTGAGTGAGTGAGTGAGGGAGGGAGCAGGGGAGGAAGGAATCGAGTGAGTTTGGTTTCACGACGCTTTGATTTCTTTGTTTGTTGTTTAACGCCGCACTCAGAAATATTCAAGCTATATGACGGTGGTCTGGAAATATTTGGGTCTGGACCAGACAATCCAGTGATTAATATCATGAGCATCGTCTTCCCGAGGCAAGGGAGGTAACTGACTGTGAAAGTCCAGTTTCCACCCTTGACGAACTAGGCTGAAATTATGGAGTTTGGCTCGACTATCCGGGGTAGAATAGGTCTTCAGCAGTCCATGTTTGCCGTAAAAGGTGACGATGCTAACGGGTGTTCAGACCCGCTGTCTTGGTTGATGCATGTCATCGTATCCAAATTGTGTGGATCGATGCTCATGATGTCAGTCACTGGATTGTCTGGTCAAGACTCAATTATTTACAGACCTGCGTCATTTAGCTGGAATATATAGCGCGGCGCAAACAACAAACAAACAATCTTACATGGTCTAAATCCATACACATTATGCAAAGTTTGTGCAGTTGTCTGTTTGACAGATGCAAGCTGTTAAAACACATTGCAGGACAGTACATGTGTGTAGCTACGTGATGTTTGTGTTGGTACCCCTGTGCAAACATTGTCATTGATCGTCGTTGTTATGGCCATATCAAACTACGCCATTCTTAACGCTGATATAACATAGGTGTCTTGTTACGGATGTCGATATGAACTGTACTACACGATTTCCTTTGCAAAATAACATATAAGCAAAGTCCTTTTATTAAACAAATCAGTCCTCATATGGTGGAAAAGGCGCAACAAAACCTTTTCCCTAACCATAAGAAATCTCCCTTATCCATTCCGAAAAACATGTGTTTATGATTCACTCCCAAATACTGATAATACCAGGTGTTCGCGAATAGGTGGGCGTATCCTGCCCCACAGGTGGCAACCGTAACAAACACATGCAGTGATAACAACTGTTTACCTGAAGAAACACAGGAACGTAAAGTACAAGTCAAAATAGGGAATTTTGATTTGTACTCTACATGTCTGCAAAGTCTGCAATGTCTGCAATGTCTGCAATGTCTGCAAAGTCTTCTATGTCTGCAATGTCTGCAGTGTCTGCAAAGTCTGCAAAGTCTGCATTGTCTACAATGTCTGCAATGTCTGCAAAGTCTGCAATGTCTGCAATGTCTGCAATGTCTGCAAAGTCTTTAATGTCTGCAATGTCTGCAATGTCTGCAAAGTCTGCAAAGTCTGCATTGTCTGCAATGTCTGCAATGTCTGCAAAGTCTGCAAAGTCTGCAATGTCTGCAAAGTCTGCAATGTCTGCAATGCTACAACTGCAAAACCAGATATTTTTTTATTAAAACTAAAAGCCAAGTTATTTTTAAAAAAATAAAACACATTGCAACAATGTAATTTTCGTTGCAGACACTTGCTTGTTTTCCCAACAATATATAGCATAGACCCTTTTTTAATATAGTGGTGTCATATAGTACGATTGTTTATACTCATTAAACCACAGACCCTATCTGTGAGTCAGCTGTGTCATATAAAACAATTCTTTATCCTCATTAAACCACAGACCCTATCTGTGAGTCAACTGTGTCATTTAGAACAATTGTTTATACTCATTAAACCACAGACCCTATCTATGAGACAGTTGTGTCATATAGAACAATTGTTTATACTCATAAAACCACAGACCCTATCTATGAGACAGTTGTGTCATATAGAACAGTTGTTTATACTCATAAAACCACAGACCCTATCTGTGAGTCAGATGTGTCATATAGAACAATTGTTTATACTCATTAAACCACAGACCCTATCTATGCGACAGTTGTGTCATATAGAACAGTTGTTTATACTCATAAAACCACATACCCTATCTGTGAGTCAGCTGTGTCATATAGAACAATTGTTTATACTCATTAAACCACAGACCCTATCTATGAGACAGTTGTGTCATATAGAACAGGTGTTTATACTCATACAACCACAGACCCTATCTATGAGACAGTTGTGTCATATAGAACAGTTGTTTATACTCATAAAACCACAGACCCTATCTATGAGACAGTTGTGTCATATAGAACAGGTGTTTATACTCATAAAACCACTGACCCTATCTATGAGTCAACTGTGTCATATAGAACAATTGTTTATTCTCATTAAACCACAGACCCTATCTATGAGTCAACTGTGTCATATAGAACAATTGTTTATACTCATTAAACCACAGACCCTATCTATGAGACAGTTGTGTCATATAGAACAGTTGTTTTTACTCATAAAACCACTGACCCTATCTATGAGTCAACTGCGTCATATAGAACAATTATTTATACTCATAAAACCACAGACCCTATTTATGAGACAGTTTTGTCATATAAAACAGTTTTTATACTCATAAAACCACAGACCCTATCTATGAGACAGGTGTGTCATATAGAATAGTTGTTTATACTCATAAAACCACAGACCCTATCTACGAGACAGTTATGTCATATAGAACAATCGTTTATACTCATAAAACCACAGACCCTATCTACGAGACAGTTAGGTCATATAGAACAAGCGTTTATACTCATAAAACCACAGACCCTATCTACGAGACAGTTGTGTCATATAGAATAGTTGTTTATACTCATAAAACCACAGACCCTATCTATCAGACAGTTATGTCATATAGAACAATCGTTTATACACATTAAACCACAGAGCCTATCTACGAGACAGTTGTGTCATATAGAATAGTTGTTTATACTCATAAAACCACAGAGCTTATCTATCAGACAGTTATGTCATATAGAACAATCGTTTATACTCATAAAACCACAGACCCTATCTACGAGACAGTTATGTCATATAGAACAATTGTTTATACTCATAAAACCACAGACCCTATCTACGAGACAGTTATGTCATATAGAACAATTGTTTATACTCATAAAACCACAGACCCTATCTACGAGACAGTTGTGTCATATAGAATAGTTTTTTATACTCATTAAACCACAGAGCCTATCTATCAGACAGTTATGTCATATAGAACAGGTGTTTATACTCATAAAACCACAGAGCCTATCTACGAGACAGTTGTGTCATGTAGAATAGTTGTTTATACTCATAAAACCACAGAGCCTATCTATCAGACAGTTATGTCATATAGAACAATCGTTTATACACATTAAACCACAGAGCCTATCTACGAGACAGTTGTGTCATATAGAATAGTTGTTTATACTCATAAAACCACAGACCCTATCTACGAGACAGTTATGTCATATAGAACAAGCGTTTATACTCATAAAACCACAGACCCTATCTACGAGACAGTAATGTCATATAGAACAATTGTTTATACTCATAAAACCACAGACCCTATCTACGAGACAGTTGTGTCATATAGAATAGTTGTTTATACTCATAAAACCACAGACCCTATCTACGAGACAGTTATGTCATATAGAACAATCATTTATACTCATAAAACCACAGACCCTATCTACGAGACAGTTAGGTCATATAGAACAATTGTTTATACTCATAAAACCACAGACCCTATCTATCAGACAGTTATGTATTGAAACATACTTTGATGCTGGGCCTTAAAGGTTTAAGGTTCACTTTATAAACAGTTTGTTAGCAGTATTATCATTAGTTTTTATATCTGTCTATCTTTAAAACATTATTCCGAGGGAAAGCGTTCTCTTGCCGCTTCAATGGCACCACCAGCTGGTGCCATCTCGTGTTTCATGTTTTAATAGAATGGGTCTGATGTCAGCTGTTTGGTATTCATAAATGCGGACATATGTTCATGTGAATAATATTCAATCTTCTCCGTTGAACACAGACATCTGTATTAGCATGGGCCGTGAATGACAACTGTCACGTGGTTATCAAAGCGTTAGACAATATAGGCGATGGGTAACCCTATGGGCATATACCCTGTCATATATATACTGTTACAGAAGTGTTTTCTATGAAGGTGATAGATCTTTAGCCCTATATACTGTTACAGAAGTGTTTTCTATGAAGGTGAAAGCTCTTTAGCCCTATATACTATCATAGAAGAGTTTTCTATGAAGGTGAAAGCTCTTTAGCCCTATATACTATCATAGAAGAGTTTTCTATGAAGGTGAAAGCTCTTTAGCCCTATATACTATCATAGAAGAGTTTTCTATGAAGGTGAAAGCTCTTTAGCCCTATATACTATCATAGAAGAGTTTTCTATGAAGGTGAAAGCTCTTTAGCCCTATATACTATCATAGAAGAGTTTTCTATGAAGGTGAAAGCTCTTTAGCCCTATATACTATCATAGAAGAGTTTTCTATGCAGGTGAAAGCTCTTTAGCCCTATATACTATCATAGAAGAGTTTTCTATGAAGGTGATAGATCTTTAGCCCTATATACTATCATAGAAGAGTTTTCTATGAAAGTGATAGATCTTTAGCCCTATATACTATCATAGATGTGTTTTCAATGACGGTGATAGCTCTTTAGCCTTATATACTGTTATGGAAGTGTTGGCTATGAAGGTGATGGAACTTTAACCCTATATACTGTTATAGAAGCATTGACTGTGAAGGTCCCACAGTGATGCACCTGATCGCCAGCACGCGAAGTCAGCGATCTAACCAACTCAGCCACCGAGGTTTCCACAAAAATGAGACTTTATATACTGTTATAGAAGTGTTAGCTGCGTATGTGGTGAGACTTTAACCCTATATACTGTTTAAGAAGTGTTAGCTGCAAATGTGGTGAAACTTTAACCCTATATACTGTTATAGAAGTGTTAGCTGCAAATGTGGTGAAACTTTAACCCTATATACTGTTTAAGAAGAGACTCCAGTCCCCTGGGCTGACGTGGTTCCTCTTCATTTAAAAGAAAACACGACATGTACATTATGTGGAAAGGCGCCGTCAATGAATCGCG